ATCACATGGGTGCGTTCTGACACACGCGGTTCATGGGACAAGGTGCTCCTTCAGGGGCATTGGGGAAATCCTCTTTGAAGAGAAGTTGTGGCAGCAAAGTGGTTAATAGCCTATGTTAGGACTTTTTAGTCTAGCAGACAAAGGCCTAACAATTGCCAATGGCTAGAAACAAGGCAGAAGGTTTTAAGTGAGGGTTAGTAACCATTGGGGCCACTTCTCAAGGGTTTGGTGGATTCTCTATCACTAGAAGTCTTTAAATGAAGGTTGGATGTCATTCTGAAAGAGACGCTCTAAGTCAAACAGAATCACAAGGTGAAATTCTCTGGGCGGCGTTATACTGGAGGTCAGACCAATCAGTTTCTTAGATTCATAGGTTTTAAGGCCAAAAGTGACATGTGCAGTGATGTCATATAGAATGAATCCAGATCTCTCATTCTTTAGGATCTCAGGCAGTGCCCCGTTTGATGTATCATGTGTGGGTGCTCAGTGCATAAAGGCAGGATTCAGTGTCGATCGGTTCTAGTCATTTGACATGTTAATGTCTCTGATTTTTTTTAGAAACTTTTACTTGTTTTTTCTATTTTCTCCCAAATTGTACTTAAATAAAAAAGTGACTAGCTCAGGGGAACTAATGGACAATCCTTGCATGCAAGCTCCCCTCAATCCACCCAGTATTGGCTCCCCAAGGCCCTGTCGCAAGAAGAGCCCCTTGGTCTGCTCCTGGCACAGACTGTGGAGGCTGATAACTAGATGCTGGGTGTGGGCAGGGGCCGGAACCACCCTTCCTGGAATTCTGTCCCTCTGCAGTCTTTGCCAGGGGCTCTGCTTGTGACAGGGCTTTGGGGAGTCTTTTTAAACCCTACAAATCAATTGGAAAACTTGCCCGATTGGGAATAGGAGGAACTTTTTTTAAGGCTGATATTCCTGGGGCTTTTGAGGGCCAGCTCCTTCCGACACCTTCATCCACTTCCCCCACTTGGGCGGTGGCTGAGGGGACAGGAAGAATTGCTGCAGGTGCCCTTCTTGCTCCTGCACGTTCCAGCCAGAGCCATGTGGTGCAGAGTGCTCCATGGCACAGAGTGCCCCACATGCTGGAGCTCCTTGGGCACAGCGCAGGGTAGCCTTGAGGCACAGGCATGCTAGGTTCCCCTGCAGCCCTGCAAAGGAGGAGGGCAGCATTCTTGGCCAGTGAGAGGGCTCGGTCCACGCCGAACTGCTGGATCAGGCACACAACTCTCCCCTCTGTAGTCCGGACAGCAGTGGAGAAAGTGAAGAGATCCCTTCCTTCAGATCAGCCCAGGAAGAATTACAAAAGCCATCCTTTGGTTTTAACTCCTCTTTTCGAGGCTCTCTGTCCTACAGAGAGCAGCAAAGAGATTGCAAACCTGGAAGAGGTAGGTGGTCTGATTTCAACAAGCCCTGGAACTATGGATAGGACTCTTCTGGAAGACTTTCCAGCCAGAGGTCCCCACTTGACGTCAGGTGTCCCACATCCAAAACAATCTCCCAACATAGGCTTCCAAGATTCTCTTTTGTGTGGGCGAGCACACCACTTCACACAATGGGGTACTGGAGACCGTGAAAGAGGGCATGCCACTGCGGGAAAATTCCCTTGAATAGTCACGAACATCCTAGTAGCTCTTGTGTCGTACCTTGGAGAGAGAGAGGGTTCTAGATTTATCATTTTTGGACAATCCTCTCATCTGATCTCAGACTCAGAACGCAGCCCTTCAAGGCCTATCTGACAGACTCTCTCCTGCAGAAGCACAGGGTCCTGATCAGCATAGAGAAGAATCATCCTTAGCTTTCTCAGCACCTTCCGTACCTGGGAGTGACCCTAGACATCAGTCAGGTCAAGGATTCATTTCAGAGGACAGAAAAGAAAAGGTCTTTTTGGGTGATTCATTGGGAATTCTCCCTCCAGACCTTAACTCACTCCTGGGCAAGCAGGACACTCTGCAATGGGCCACTTCCATGAGGTCCCTCCCAAAGCTTCTCCTTTCCTACCAGAAGGAAATTTCATCCAACCAGGATATATGAGTTAGTGTTCAAAACTGGTTCATGCCTCCCTCAAGTGGCGGGCTTGCCCCCCAAAGTTCCAGTGAGGTTTTCTAGTGTCAGAACCAGAGAGGCTGATCAATACGGACACCAGTCTCCAGGGCTGGGGGCTGACTCCAGAGTCTGGGTGGGGGAGGAGAAAGTAAAGAGTGTATAAATTTAGCTGGGGCTGTGTGCCATCAGGCTGCTTGTCACTCTCAACAAGCCGCCTGTAACTACCAGGTCCCAGCCATGCCACCATCAGTGCCACAGCCAGGGCATGACAACCACCAGTGCACCCACACTCCGCAAAGAAGTGGCTCCTGACATAGGCAGAGCAGACTCTAAGCTCCAGCAGAGTCCCCACCTCAAGGGAAGCAGGTCAGCAGACCGGCACTTTGAAAAATGTCATGGGATCCAGACTCTGTCCCCCCAAGTCCCTCCAAACATGCAGCTTTCTCATTGTGGGCCTTTTGCACCACAAGCCTCTGAAAGGTTCTTTGCAGAGACGAGGTCACAGAGCACAAGCCGTCAGTGCTTTCCTGGAATGACGGTCGGGCTGTCTTTATTCTCTCCCTCCCTTTCCACTATGGATGAAAACACTGAAGAAGATCCTGGGGAACAAATCCTGGTGAATCTGATTGCTCCTTACTGGCCCTGCAAGGACGCAGTTTCAGACCTGATTAATGTGCAGCTGAAGCTTCCTCTGACTTGAATACTATGGAAGGGATTGTGAGATATGGCCCAGTCCTTTACCCAAACCCAAACCTGCTAAAGCAAACAGTGGGGAAGCTGAAAGCAGGGAACTGAGCTCCCTAGGCTACTCGCAGCGTGTGCCAGGAGAGGTGAATCCACGCCAGAGCAGCCAAAGTGAAAGAGGAATTGGAGTTCTTGCAGGATGGCCTAACTGTGGGCCTTGAGTCCAAAATGCTGACAAGACAGGTGTTAGCCATCGTTCGTGTTCTGAGCTCCATGACAACCTCCATTCATCACTGATACAATTCGATTCCTGAGAGCAGTGACTCTGCTTAAGCCACTTGTAGTCCAGACTCCCAACATGGAGTTCAAACGTGGTTCTCCAGGGATGGTTTGGGCCAGAGAGGCAGACAATGCTGCCAGCGTGGACATATGCAGAAGCCTGGCTTTTCCATTCTAACTGAAGGACCCTAAAATAGTGTAGTCTAGTTGACTATTGAATAACGGCTTGTTTTGAAAAAACAGCCGTGAGTTGCAGCAAACTTCTGCTGGTTGTATGGCTCCCACCGTCTCCAACAAGCCTCTACACTCATTTAGCCCCACTGGAGAAGCACAGCGAGAAAGAGGTGGTGAAGCCAGAGTCCCAGTCTAAGAGTAGCAAAGCCGATAAGGGCTGTCCCTAGGCCTAGGGCTAGCGCTCAGGGGTATCCTCCCGAGGGCCTGTGTAAAGGTTGGAGGCACAGCATAGCCTGTGGATCTGTGCATGGAGCAAGGGAGAAAAAACATTGCAGGGGCCTGTGAGACCTCAGGCACATCCACACTCTCCAAGGGGATCGGGCACCTCCTGAGTTCCTGTAAGGCAGCGATGGGGCCTTGAGCCACACATTGACAAAGCACGGGAGGAGAAATACCAGGGCATTGCAGAATGTGCTGCGTCAGCAGCAGGCAGGGGCTCTTCCTCTGGGATCATCCTCCCACAAGTACAAACTGCTTTGTACATCCCACAGCTCTGACCGCCCGGCACAGAGGGGATGGGAGAAAGGAGAACTTGGTCTGTCCTGCCCTAGGGAGCATTTTTTGCGTTGGAGTCTGAATACTTGCATTCTGTATTGAATGGTCTTTTCCGTCAAAGTTGAGTTTAGAATTAAAAAGCTGGGCGATTTCTTGTATCCCCAAAGTTCTGTGACAACAAGTATCTCTACTCGGTGGTTGCATGCTCACCTTTCTGGGTAAAACATTGTCAGCTTTGGAAGCTATTGATCTGGTGATATCCAGGAGGGGCTCGTCTGGGCTCCTGCATGGTTTATGGGGGCAGAGACTGCTGGCGAATTCCAGGAAGGGCTGGTTCGGGCACCTAAATGCAGCCAAAATCTATTGGTCTGCCTCCATGGCCCAGGAAGAAGGGGCACGCCTCACAGGTCAGACTGTCGGACATGCAGGGTACCAGGAAGAAGATTCACAGGTGGTAATAATCCCTTGGTCTTATAGTGTCTTTATCCATAGATCTCAAAGCACTTTACAAATGAGGTTCATATAATTATCCCTGTTTCACAGATAGGGAAACTGAGGCACTGAAAGGTGAAGCGACTTGCCCAAGGTCATCTGGCAGGCCAGTGACAGAGCCAAGAATAGACCCCACGTCGCCTGAGTCCCTGCCCTGTGCTCTAACCAGTATGCCATAATTTTCCTATCTCTGGTTCATTCTTGGCCTCTCTACTAAATCCCTCAAGAACGGGGATACTGATAGTGCTGGTGATTTCTGTGCTGCAGACTCCAGTCTGGACTAACTGAGACCAGTTCAGCGTAGTCCCCTGAACAGGCACGACATGGTGGGAGAACCCTGTGATTTTCCTGGGAGCGCTTCCTTTTTTCTAGATACAAATCTCCGGAGTGTTCCATGCAAACAGGTGGGATTTGAGTGAGAGTTAAATTAGAAGTAAAATGGGACAGGTAGAGGGGGACTTGCTGCACCCCCAAGGGAGCCATTGTCAGAGCTGGGATTAGAACAGTGTAGATCAGCATCTAGCGAAAAGGAAGTGACTGTAGCTGTTGTTTTCCATGGCTGTTCTGATTAGGGGCCTCAAAGCTGCTGAGAGGTGACCTGTACAGGTCTGCATTGGACATGGTGATAGGAGATGACTGAGGTCAAGGAAGCTTGTTGCTAATCGTGTAACTACACGACAGTCCCAGCAAAGGCTCTTCAGCAGGTAATCGAGTCCGTTTCTGGCTCCATCTCTTAATGCTCTTGTTTTCTTTTTGCCCTACAGTGAGAAACGCCATCTGCAAGTCAGTGTTACCAATCCAGTCCAGTGCAGCATGCGTGGTAGGAAATGCACGGTCTCTGTGGAAACCAGGATCAACCAGACCCAGCCAGACTTCACCAAGAATCGTTCAGGTTTCATCCTGTGTGTGCCAGGGAATTAGCATCACCTCCACTAGAGCAGAGAGCCTTGAAAGGAGACAGACCCGGGCTTAGGTTGCCCTCCCTGTGCCTTGAGCTTTTCAAGGGAATTCATTTAGAAATGCTCAGCTATGACTTGCAGTCATGCACCTAACCAGATCTCTAAAGCTAGAGGTTTATCCAGCCCAAATTCAAGAGAGAGTTTCTCTGCCACATCCACCAGAGCTTAAAATAGCCAATCAGATGTGCCCAGCTTGGCAGGCCTGGACTCAGGAAACTGCTTCTGAGCTATTCAGCCGAGAGCATTTACTTATGGGCACTGCTACACCTGGCTTCCTCCCTTCCCCCCACTCTTCTAACCCTCTCCCACGTTCCCCTCTGAGTTTATCTCCATGTCTCAATCGCACAATATTGTGCAGCCTCTGTTGGGACCAAAGACTGGGGCTCGGGGAAGGAGTCCAGCAGTAACGTGACTTGAATTGGAAAGGCCAAATCTCCCTTGAAAAGGGAACCATATTTGCAAAGGGCTGGATTCCCTTGCGGAAGGCACAGAACCCACACTCCCCCCAGCCCCTCTCCGTCAGAGCTCCTGTGACTGCTGCAGGTACCTATAAATGCATCTCTAAAATAAGCCTGCTGCTTTTCCTGTAAGAAGTCTATTGGCCTGTGAGGAGGGAGGGAGTGGGGGAGCTACACTGGCATCAAGGGGGTGGAATTATAGATGCAGAGGGCTTTAGGCTGCCTTTGCTGTATAGAGCATAGCTGTTGTCTTTCCTAAGTGGTAACTGCTTCCTAAACCCTCTGGATTCCCAGCCTGCATTCTCCTTGCATGACCCATGTGCAGTGAGGGCTGAGGTGAATGCTGGCTGAGCTCTCTGCACGGTTGGGTTAAGGAGGTTTCCTTTCCAGGGTCTGTGCAGAGGCTCTGGAAACATTGGGTCCGAGGAGACCCAGCCCACAGCTCTCGAGTCTGTATACACTAACTCTGGGCAATTCCGTCCAAGCATAGAGAGAAATCCACAAACCCTGTTCTTAAATGGAGAGATTCCTCTTCTGCAGCTGACTAGAGACCCTCCTTAGCCATGCATTGGACACCTTCAGCACAAGCCCATGGAGCCCCTCTGTGCCTCTCTCTGGCCTTTCTGTTAGCAGCTGGTGCGTAGCCTGCGTGTCTGTTCCCCGTACCCTTGTGTTCCGTGCCCCAGGTTGGTACAGGGCACTAAAGTGCAGGCTTTACCATCTCTCCAGTCTCCTCTGCCAGAATTACTAACCAGCTTTTTATTTAATGTCAGTGGATTGTATGTCAGGCTTCTACTGTGGTACTTTAATGGGGGAGACAGTGACATTATGGGGCTATTGAGACTGTAGCTGGTCAATTCTGGCACTGCTGGTCAGGTCAGGATTCCAGTCTTCTGTGCTGTACAAGGCCTGCCTGGGGGATCTGTCCCAATGAACCCATCTTAGGGACCTCCAGTCCCTGGCTTCATTGGAGCAGTTGTTTAGCTCTCAGATCTGTATGTTTTAGCACAACCCCCCCCCAAAAAAAGGGGGGGGGCCTGAAGAGGCACTTCCCCTCTTCAAGGGCATGGTAGCTATCCTGCTCCATAGTGAATGCAAAGCCACCCTATGAACAGAGGGGAGGGTACGTGGGTCACAACAGTGTCTCTGCCCAGCCACTGCCAGGGAGACTCTAAGATTAATTGGTATCTGGAATAGAGGAGAGAAGCTACAGAGCTGTGTTTAATTAGGACAAGCTTAATTTCCCATTTTGTGTTTGCCAGAGTCCCTGTGGCATAGCCCCTTCCTGTGGCTGCTCCATCCCTTCCCCTGCTGTACATCGCATGATTGCAGTGCGTGGCCTCTAGCCAAGACCCACCGAGAGCAGCCCATTGTCATTGAGGAGCAGGAGTCCCCAGAGCCACCCTGGCACCTGCTCACTCTCCTTGTTTGCTGCACTGGATGGCCAGGAGAGATCCTGCGGCCCGGGACGCTCATGGCCTTTTCAGATCCCCCCGATGCTTTGGGAAGAAGCAATTATGGCTGTTGGCCAATGCAGGTTAACTGTTAGTGGCTGCTTTACCAGGGCCTAACACCCCTAGAGCAACCAGGAGCGTGGAAGTGACTACCCAGCCAAGCAATTGCTCCTACACATGCCAAATGTGTGTGTGTGCGTGTGTGTGCGCGCGTGCAGATAGGTTATCAGTAAGGGGCCTTTACCTCTCATTCTACTTATTCCCTGGCTTTTGCTGCTTCGCAGCAGAAGAATGCCAGTTCTCAAGCTGTTGTGCTAGGAAGGAAGATTTGATTTGGTTCTAATCCCTATAAAGCTGTAGAAGAAAAGGGGAGCCCTCCCCAGCCGCTGTGCCTTTCCATTTGCACTTTTTGCTTTTTTATGTAATTGCCCAAGTGCCTCCCCAGTATCACTAGTGTAGTAGCCACATCAGTGGGAAGAGTTTTAATTAGCACTTTGGTACAGTAGCCCTCCGCCGAAATGGTTGTATAGAATCGTGATGGGTGTGTTTAGGAAATCTCAGAACACTGCGAGGGGGGGATATTGTATGTGTCTTTATGAAATGAAATACATGATTTGTGCCTGTTCTGGTTTATATATATATAATCATGTTTTTCCCATAAATTAATTATTTCTAAATTGTATTCTGATTTTAAGCCTGGGGCAATAATGCAATGAACCTTTTTTAAGTAGTTGATACTGTAAAATATTAAAGGAAAAAGCCCTGCTATTATGAAACTGTTCTGTTTTGTTTACATAATTCAATATAATAAATAAAAGCACTATTAGTTGCACCCTGATATTGCTGGTCTCCCTTTCTTATAGTGGAGATAAAAGTCACACTGGAGAGAAGCATTTGTTGAGCAGGGTTTTCCCTGAGAAGTTTATTGAAGAAGAGTGATGTTTCACGTACTGCTGGCAGCGCATCCTGTGGTTCCTGCTTTGATTAAGTTAAAATGCTGACCTCTAACAATGCTCCGGGGGGCGGCCTGGAGTCCTTAGTATAGGGCTTGATGATATAGAAGCTGTTTTGTTAAACAGGCCTCAGTGGAGCTAGGGACTGAAATGAGGTTTTCATTTCCTGTCTTGCTCATTTCTTTACCACTTTCTCAACATCTGCTGCTCATTGGGGCTTATCTGAATTTAGGTGACAAATGAGGGGACTAACCCGGCCAGAACACCCCTCGACAAACTGCCATTGTCTGAGACCATCACGCAGAACAGGAAATGGGAGGATTTCTGTCAATGACTTGCCCTAATTAAACTGAATCTGAGAGGCCAAACAAATTCAGCCTCTTGCTTTCTCTTACTGTGCCACTGCTAAGACCAGAGACCCAAAGTGCATTTGCAGGACTGCCGGATGAGCGCGACAGACTTGCTGTGTGATTCAGGACATTCCTCACCCTATGACACGTACAGTCCTTATCCTGGTTTACTCCCCATATACACATGTACCAGGGAGGCAGGCATCCTTGTGCAGCTTCTGATGGGCTGAGTCAGGAAGGCCATGTCTCTCCTCTGCCTGTCTAATTTCCTTCAAAAGAGAGTGCTCTCCAGTCTCCTCACTTCACAGGAGATTGTGCGACAACCAACAGCAAAGCCATGAACCCAGGGACTTTAACATGATTAAGACTCTAGCACAACGAATGTGTTAAGCCCTCTATCGTTAAGGCAAATCCAATTATTTTCCAATGGCATGAATCATTTGTGAAAGGGGTCTTACACACATGGGCTGCTGCACAAAAGACTCTGCTACAAGCGGCTTCCATGTAATGGATGGTCAGTGCATTTTATTTCATCAGCACAGTACAAAAATAAATAAAAATAAGGGGAGGGGGCTAAATTACAGGCACACTGAGCTTCATGACAGTCGGTCAGATTATAAACCACACATACTTACAAACACACTGTACACACATACAAAATGAGACAAATATAAATTAATAAGTAACTATACCCACCAGTTTGGTCAACAAAGATCTACAGAAGAGATTGCACTAAAAAAACCAACATACAGATACATGTATCATTAGCAGTTTCAAATGTACATCGATGAAGAATTTCAAGTGAAAAAATGGCACGTTGTTTTCTTGTTTTCATTTGCAATTTTAACAACTGTTGGAACAGAACTAAACTAAGAACTGTGCACGGTAAGAAGAACCTATCAATCCCCAGCGCTGATGAGAAAATGCCAGCTCAGATACTGAACTATTTTGTGTTGTGGGTTTTTTTGTTTGTTTGTTTTTGTGCATGGGTTTACAACAGAAAGTTGTAAGATTGTTTTTGTTTGCTGAAGACACACAATGCTTCTGTTTGCATGCACAATATCACTGTCAAAGCCATGATGAAAGAATAAAGAAGGGTTTTTTGTAAGTTAGTATTTTTTTGTTCTAAAAGTTTTCTTTATAGCAGCATGTAAATTTCTTTCATTGCTTGCACACTCAAGTATATCAGTTGATCTGTAACACAATACTTATGATCAGTGCACAATGGGAACAATACATTTCACATTGATGTCATAATACAGTAGCATTTATTTCCCTTAATCCAGAACCACTCACGAAACGTGAATCTCATTTCAAAATAAATAAAGGGGGGGAGGGGGGAGAGAGAAGAAAACACCTCTCCCAGACACAAAGCTGGAAGCCAGTCCGTTATTCCAATGCCTCAAGAGACGTATAGGATCTGACCTGTTCAGTCCACCTTAGGAACAAGGTGACATCACACTGCCACATTTTACACCATCCATTTAGAACAGCAACTCTGCAATGGAGGGAGCTGAGACAAATATGTACAAAGACCAAGAGGAGAATTTATTTTTCCCCCTGCTTTTGCTAATAGGTCTTCCTTTCCCCTCCCACCCATCACTAATCAAGTGGCTGCGGATTTCCTTTCTTTCCAGCTCTGGCTGAAGAAGTGTTAGCTTGTGGTCTGTGTTTGTTAATGGTTCAGCTTTAGAGCAATGCAGGCTCGCCCTTCATTTGCAAGTCCAGCTCCTCTCATGTCCAGACCTTTAATTTCACAGCTTTGTTCCTCTACATTTCAAAATGTGCTTGCTGCTCATTTGAGAAGCAAGTACAATCTGTTCTAACCCTGTTAAATACAAAGCCCACCCTCCCCTCCCCCGCTACCAGAATGCCCGCATCCTTAAACCTAGTGTTGGATTTGAAGACGCCTATAGAGATTTCAAACCAGTCTGTGTCTGCAGCCATATTACATGCAATGAAACACTAGTCTTGGTTTTCCTCACCATCTGGCACTGTAAGAAGCTATAAAGCCAGAGGATAAGATTACCTGTGAGCTTCAACCCAAAAGTGAATTCACTTTTCAGTAGCATTAAAGTGTGTGTTAGCATCTAGAACCAGGAACCCTGGTCTTTTAAATGACATGGTTAACTCAATCAGTAGGATTCCAAGGAAAGAAAAGCTGCATTACTATTTCTAGTGTAGGCTGTAAGGCCCAGTCCCCTCTGCCCACTTGGTGATGAGCTTTTTCTTTCTGAAATTATTTTAACAACCTCTTTGTCCCCTATGTTTCAATAAACATGCTGTACCCGCACGCTGACATCAGAGGTAAACAGCAGACATAAATAGGCCCAATTCCACACAGAGTGATCAGGTAGACTAGGGAAAGCAACTGATAGTGCCATTAAACCCTACAGTAGGACACATCAATACAGACCACTACTGCTGCAGTTCAGAAAACATGAATAGAATAATGTCCACCACTTGTGACAGGACCAGGGTGGGCTGCAGATAGTCATGTTACTGACTAGCACAGAATTATTTGCCATTGCAAACCAAAACAATAGCCACAGGTGTGGTCTCACCAATCCCAACCTGGCCACCTCACCTCTTGGTGCCTTGGCTGGTGACACAGCATTCCAAACTCGCCTTAGACGTAGGCTGCAGCACTGATCATGAATGATAATTCTATGCCTGTGAGGCACTGTTTTGCCTGCTCAAAGTTGGGCTTTCCCGAATCTGGGAATTTTGAAAATTAACTGTGTGAGCCACCAATGCAGAGTCAAAGGTGTGTGCAATTCCACCTCTCCCCCACTCGCCTTCCCAGCTAACTACACGTTACATGCAATAAGTCCCTTTTGGAGTTTGATACTGATTGTTTTTAAGGTTAATTTTCTTCGTTTTGTGCAGCTCTGAACCCCCGCCAGCTTTAAAGCATTGGATCCCTTTGTGAAATGCCAGATGCTCAAGACTCCATTGGATTACCCCATCCCCACACCACCAGGCCCTTCAAGAAAGGAAAGGCCAGCATTTCCTTCAAGTCATTTTTTGAAGCCGCCTGTTCACAAGGGTGAAGACTTCTGCGTGGATAATGCCTCTAGCAGATACTGTCTGGGCAAAGGGACAGCCAAGCCCCCACTGAGCACTTGGTGCTATGGCCCAAGAAGTGGAGGGAGCAATGGATCTCCAGGCAGTTACAGAAACCAAACAGATACTGGCTACAACAACAGCTTCACACCCACCCCTGTGGCTGCAGCGCCGCTGGAGGCCAAGCCGGGCTGCAAGTGTTCAAAGGTCAGTGCTGCCAGCTGGGGGCTGGGCGGCTAGTTCCAAGATCCACCCAACCGCCACCTGTGTCTGACAAAACAAAGCACCACAAAGGTGCCCCGGTCCCAGCGGCGGGGGGCGCTCACCGGTCCAGCCCGATGAGGAGCCGGCTCTTCTCCTCCTGGCTGCACTCGTTCTTCAGGTCAGCAAACACCTGGGTGAAGTAGTGCGGGTCCGCGTTGATCTGCAGCATCTTGGGGCTCATGAGGTTGATGATGGAGAGGCAGCGGTCCCAAAAGGCCTCCTTGCAGCTCTCCACCAGGAAGGGTTTGAGCGGGTAGGAGATCTCGTTGCCCATGTAGGAGTAGGAGAGGTACAGGCAGGTCAGCAGGCTGGCCTGCAGGTCGTGGTCGGTGGCCACCTCGGCGGAGATGACGTCCCGGCACAGCATGTAGAGGAAGACCACGTTGGCCGGGGTGATGAAGCCCTGGTCCTGCCAGCCCTGCAGGAGCAGCGACCTGTCCACGCTGCGCAGCCACAAGACGGGGTCCGTGGGCGAGAGGTGCTTGAGGCGGTAGCAGCGGCGGCACAGGAACTCGCCCAGGCAGCGCAGCAGCTCGCTGGTGGAGGCCTGGACGATGACCCGCTTCGGGGTGCCGGCCGCGCTGGGGTTGGGCGGCGCTTTGCGGCCGGAGGACGCTGCGCTCTTGGCCGCGGAGAGCGGCGGCGGCGGGGCCGCGGGCTGCGCGGGGGGCTGCGCGAAGGTGGCGAGGTTGGCGCAGGACAGCGACTTCTTCAGGTTCTCGCTGTTGAGGTGGGCGACGTTGCTCTGGTAGCCGGCGCTGGGCTGCACCTTCTTGGAGTGTTTCTTCTTGGCCGAGACGGCGGCGATGCGCTTCCAGGGCAGCGCCGCCAGGATGGGGTTGCGCCGCACGCTGCGCTCCTTGGCGTTCTTGCTGTTCTGCACCGCGGTGTATTGCCCCGCGCCGGCCGCGCCATCCTCGCACAGCGGCGCCTTGCGGTAGCTGGGGGACAGCGACAGCACCGTGCCCATGGCGCCGCGGGGCGCCCGCCGCCTCCGGCCCTGCAGCGGGGGGACAACAGCCGGGATGGGTCCCCTGCGCGC